AGTTGTGGGAGAATACTAATTTCCGTTTTAAAAGTTCCCATCAAACTGTTCAACTACTCAACAAGTTGTTCTATGATTAGGAAAATGAATTAAATAAAGAACTCTCAGATAGGGATGTATGTTATAATAGTAATTCCATTGATCCTCATGGATTATTTGGTCAATTAAAAACTCAAAGATTGGGTGACTAATACAGTGTTTCTACTTATCCACCTGGAACAGTTGGTCCACTATGTTAAAGTATGAAACTCAGAGCGTTTAAAGCTCTTCTATGAAGCTTAAGATGGGTTAAAAGATGGTCTTAAAGTTAACTTTGATCTTTGTTTACCACACAATTGTGGTAAAATTTATTGAAGAGAAAATTTATGTTTCTTGCAAGGTTTTCTAACTGTTAGTGACCCATCAGTAAACAACAATAACACTGACACTTTTATTCGCTATTCACTAAAGTTCGATAAAAACGTATATACTGCAAAGAATAGTTTATACGGTAATCCCCCATTATAGAGGTATTTCCGTATACCCCGTATACACACCTGCAAAGATACGCGAAGTTAATTATGAACTATACAAATCCCTGCGTTATATGGGGGAATCCTCGTGTTATACGAGGAATTAAAATCGAGTAAAATGAAAACGCATTCTAAGGGTACAGTAATCCCCCCTTACTGTATTTAGAATTTAGTTTCTTTCGCCAAAACGGATGTTATAAATTAATTTAATATCGCATCTTAATAAGGTCGGTATATTTTTTTATTTAAGACCGGTATTTTGATACCTCTCTTATCAGCTAATAGTAATATATATTTCAGATGTTTCGCACGTGTAACTAAGGCACACTTTCTGTCTAGTACAGCCAGGTTTTTTAGAACTATAAAATCTCTTATTTCATTAAACGCTAGTTATTTGTTTTTCTAATTTGAAATAATTAATGGAATGAACTATTTTCATTTCGAACAACTATCATAATTACTTTCCTTCTTTATCTATTTGATGATCTATCTCAAGGAATAAGGAAAAATGACTTCAAACTTATAATCAAGTTAACAATTGTCATTAACACTCTTTTCTCCAGAACACCTTTTTCCTCATTTCATTCTCATTTAGCATTTGAGCTTGTTTACGTATATATTATTTTGTATTGCCAGAGAAAAATGTAAGAAATGCTTAAAAAAATATATGAAAAAAATTCTAAATGAATGTCACGTGACAAATTTAGCCTTGCATTTCAATAAGGAATTTTTGTAAATAAACACTCTAAGGATATAAAAAAAGCATCAGCGGAAAAAAAACAGGACAGAAAATTGCAATGAAATTAAAATAAAATAAAATTTACGATGAACTAAATGAGCATAGAAATACTGAAGTGTCACACCATTGCCGTCCTGGAGGCGACAAAATCGTGACTTCATTTGTTGACACTTGGAAGAGTAGCGAGGAGGCCGACCGACCAATTCAACATTTGTTTCAACCAGGAGGAAATCGCTCTGCAAGGAGGAAGAAAGCCATTCCAAGCCTTGAGCCTTGAGAAGAATAAAGGCTGCAAACGAATGATTCCTAATTGAAAACTATTAAATTCCATTTTTTTTTCTTTCAACATTTTTTTCATTTCAATTTTTTCTTTAATTTTTATACATTTTTTTTTGTTTTTGCTATTTTATAAAAACATTTTTTTATTTGGTATTTTTGCTTAAATTGAAACTTGAATTTCATTTCGAATGACATTCGCTCCATCACGCGTCAACTGCAGCGGAGAGTCCTGTTAGCGTAGCGAGAAAAAAGGACATTTTCATTTGAGCATATTTAATTAGATGCAATTATTTATGGTATTAAATAGATGAGGCAGTAAATACGATGCAAGGGGAAGTACTTAAAAAATGCAAAATAAAAAATTGAAAAATTGAAATAAAATGCTAAAGAATTACTGGCGTCAAACTGAGTGCAGAAAAAAAAAAAATAAAAAATTGGAAAAAAAAATATCTTAAAAGGAAAACCTCGTTCAATTTTTATAAGAAAATAACGAAAAATATATACTTTATATAAAAAGGAGTTTAATGGTGAGATATTTAAAAATAAATTGAAATTTAAGTCCTTGACTTATTGGTGGCAATTTATTTTAATATGTGTCTTCTTGGTAGAAAAGAAGTATTCATTTTGGAAGATAGATAAAATTCAAATTCAGCCACGTGAAATATTCTTTTGATTAGATTTTTTTGACTATTTCACTTGAAAGTTATTATGCTTTATAGTTCAGGCAAAAAGCAGACAGATTTCAATCTTCTAAAAATTCAGTGCACTGACCAACTAAATCTTGTAATTGTGATTCCAACAGAGCAACAGAGTAAAACGTTCATTTTCCAACTAAATACAGTGTAGAGAAAAAAAATTTATAATACAATAAAATAAATATAATGCAATAAAATTTATAATCTTATAATAGTTATAAGAAAGAATCTTTCAATAAAAGATGGGACGACTCAAGGATATGTAGGCATCTGTATGCAATTTGGCCACATTCCACTAAGAGGAACCACAATACTCTCATTGAAATGGTCCGTAGAGATATTAATCTTATGGTAGGTTTACTTACAGGTCATCGCATTCTAGGTAACCATGCTAGAAGATTAAACTGCCGCTTCAATTATACCTGTCGCAGTTGTGGGGAGGACGATGAAAGTGCCGTTCATCTGGTTTGTTTTTGTACAGCTCATGTACGCCAGTGATTCACTACTTCATCTTCTTTGAAGATCTTTATCAACTACAATACATTCAACTAAATGACCGTTTCAGATTTGCCAAAGGTCCAAGTCGGAAAGCTATATTCTGACATGTTTGTTTCATGAACAGAGTCAGTCGTAAATAATTGTAAAACGAACTCCACACGTGCAGGTACGTGTTTTGTTTGACATTTATATGTATTTTTCCATGCTTTTTAACTTACTTAAAAATAAAGTAAGGAAACTTAGACCAAAAATGACGAATGCAACCCTTAAAAATAAATTTCCTACAAGAAATTTGATATATGGTATTTGTCATATATTTTAAATCTAAAATGTAAACAAACAGCAGCTGAGCTGTAAATAAACGTACTGAGAAAGTGAGTATTTAATAATATATTTTTTTTTATAGTTTGAATACGTAAAACATTTATAAAATATATATGATTTCGTTCTAATATAAACACAGCAAGTAAATTAAAACTTTCATAGCATAATAACAAAACTGCAGAAAAATTAGCGAACATAAAACGTTAAGTATGGCTTTGGATCAGTTGGTTAAGGTGTGCTGATTCTGAGCTTCACATTTGGCAGGACCCGAGTTCGATTCCTGGTACTTGCAGTCTCAAAAATAGTTATTGACGAATAATTAAATACAAGAATTATTTCCAAGACCAATGATGATGAGTCAATACTCGGCAATACTCGAAACAGCTGTATGGTCAGCCAAAAATTCAATTAATTAAAACAATATAAAATAAATTTTTGTTGTTGTAGTTCACTACTGTTCGAAAAAACCTCTTTATAATATATATATATATAAAAATGGTTTAATACTCTAATTATATATATTATTACATTAATTATATGTGTAAAATATTATAGAGTAAACAAACAGCAGCTGTCTTAAAACTTTGAAAGAACTTTTTGACATAAAAAAGTTTTTTTCCTATGCAATAAGTAACTTATGGTATGTCAAAATGGAAACGACAAAATCTTTAAGATACTTAAACAATTTAATAAATAAGCAGTGGTAACATGGTACTACTAGCATGTGTCTATCAAACAGTTAATAGTTTGAACTCTCTCAAATTCCATTAACAATAGTGGAGTTTTGAGCAAAAATGTAATGTAAATGTCGACTTAAAATATTTCAGGGCAATTATCTTAAACTTTGTCGTGTTATTGTGAATATAAATAAAATGTTAAGAAATAGGTCCATTTTCACATACTATATATAATACCATACCATTATACCATCGACATGTCTCATTTAGGCAGTTATGATCAATGAAGCCGGTAATGAGAATAATATGCTTTACAAGGAGTTTCCATATAAATGAGCTCATTATAAATAAATCAACTGATTTAAGACGAAAGAGGTCGAAATAAACTCTTAACCCTTAAAATGAACTTCCTACAAGAGATATTATCAGAATTTGAAATATTAGCTATATGTTTTATATACAATATGTTAACAAACAAGTATGGAATATACATGCATAAATCAGCTTATGCCAATGAAAACGACCAAATCTTAATTTCATTAACATACCTATTTAGGTGCATCCACACCAAACCGAACGCTTGCAAACGAACGTATATTCGCAGGTAATCGTATCTGCAAAAGTTCGTTCGTTCACAAGCGTTCGCTTTGGTTTAAATGCATCTTTAGTTGTAGCTGCAGTCGATTATTAATATTATCTGGTCACCTTAGTTTATAAATTCTAAATCGACTACAAAAAATAAACACCAAAGAAGAATGCAACAACAACAATGCAGTAACATTAGAATAAGATCGAAATGTAAACAGAATATTTTTTATTTTTCAATATCCCACGGTTATTGCTTTATATCGCGTAAAAGCATTTTTTCCATAATTGAATTAATTACTAATTTTTTGATTAATTTACAATAATAAACAGCAATCGAGTTGAGCAACAATTGCTGTGCAAATGGATTTGGACAAGCAATAAACTCGTTTGTTGTTGTTGTTATTGTTGTGGCACTCGCTACACAGTGAGTCGAATAAACGTTAGTTCTTTACTGCATTAAAGTATGCAGTCTAACATTTTCCAATTCCATATTTTTAATATTAATTTTTCATATTTAAATTTATTTTTTCATTTCAATTGAATTTAATTCTTATTCAAATAATTTCCATTTTGCTTCGACATGAATTGAATTCTGATTAGATTTTAGGTCAAACACAAAGGCACACATACGCGTCATTTAGTTTTATTTTAAATTTAATTTAATTTATTTTTTTTAAACTAAACTCACCTGATATTTGTTTTCATTGGCATTTTTTGGGTCATAGTAACGCCAGTCCATCACATGCACACATGATTCCGCCGCGTCCCAAACATACAACAAATCGCCTTTGCTTTCCATGATGTGCTGGATTTTTTGGCGCTCCAATGGCAAATTCCCACGAATTTTCTCAAACATCGGCGACGAATTCAAGTTAAAAACATCCGTGAGCGACATTTTTCAATTCAATAAACGAAAAAAAACGTTACGGTTAATTAGTTTACACAAATTTTTAATAAATTTCTTCAAATAAAAAAAAGCCGGCAAAATTGCACGCTAAAAAGAAAATCAACAAAACAAATGCCAAACGTCAAAATACAGCAGACAGAAGTGGCGGCTGTAGCAGCTGTTCGTTGAAATAACATCGCAAACAAACATAGAAAGATAGAAAGAAGCAAAAACATAGCAGGAACTAAAAACATTGCATGCAATTTCAAGCAGCTGCAAAAATATTTAAAATATTTTTAATTTCCGTTAAATTAATTGCAATATTATTGTGTAATATATTTATAAATAATTTTAATATTTTAATTGCTCTAAATTAATTATTTTGTTAGAGTAATAACCATTTATTGAAATTATTTAAATATAATTTTTAGTAAAGTATGAACGCCATCTAGTGTATAATTAAATTTGATTGTGTCATTAAATAATGTAGATGGCAGTAAAAGTTTGCACAATTTTGAAAGAAATCATGAAAGTAAAAATTTTTTTTTGGCAAATGTTTTAATTTCTGTTTCAGTTTATAATTTTAACGTTTTTTTTGTTCTTTTATTTTGTGATAAAAAAAATTTAATTGAAGCGGACTTAATTTCGGTTATTAAAGGATTAATAATTCACCCAATTTTTGTTAATATTTTTAGTGAAAGTAAACGACTTCAAACTTAAAATTAAATTT